TCTCACATCTTCGGAAGTGCCGCGTGGATAACAAGGTGGAGTTGGACTCCTGTTTGATGCAGTCTTTGGAGGACCTGCGACCCACCTTCAGGACAGGTGTGTTCCTTGTTTACTTCTCTCCAGGTGTAAGGAGGAATCATGCTAGTCATTGTGAGTGATATTTGTGCCTTGGTTGGTGGGTTAATGGGATTTAAAGCCTGTCGAGTACACCAGGGTCATTAAAATCTGTATAACTTCTGTTCACCACCATCAAGAATACTTTAATCAGTAAAATAGGATTTTAAGTATTCTCTCTGTGTATATACACTGAAAGATATATACCTCTAGGTGTATATACACTGAAAGATATATACCTATCGGTGTATATACACTGAAAAGACGATGGATTGCACGTACTAAATTAATGAAATAAATTTAAGAGTTTTGGTTTTCCTATGTAAGGATTACACTTGAGATAGATTTACTAATACTATTAGTGGCAGTATTAGTAAAAGTAGTGGTGGTGGTGGTAGTAATAGTGTTAATAGTAAATTCTTAGGGAAGCATTAGGATCCCATGCCTTTGAAGAAGAGCTCTTCACTAGCATCATTGTATTATTCAAGAAAAGAGTCAGATTGATTGATAGATTGAAGTTCTTTAAAAATTGGTTGATTCTTGCAGGAATCCCTGAGCTGTCATTGCAGCCCCTGGAGCCCATGAGCATCAACAGCATCGTGTTCAGGCGAGGGGAGGGCGCTGTGGCTGTGGAGTCCACCTTCACTAACGTAGAAGTCACAGGACTCTCAAACTTCTCCACCAAATTCATTGAGTAAGTTGATAACTAAATACGAGAATAGACGAACACTCCAGCAAACTTATTAGTCCATGGATATGTTTCAATATGGATATGTTTTAATCCTGAGACCTTAGGATAGCTTTATTGGATATGTTTCAATCCTGAGACCTTGATCACTGCAGATGATACAAGAGAATGAGCAAATACAGTGATCAAGGTCCCAGGACCAAAACGTATCCAACGAAGATATCTTAGGTGTGTGCACTTGTCTTTTCATCCATTTTGTCGGTATCAGTATAGTCTACCTTCATTAACTCATCTTAGGCAAGATGAGAGGAGCACTTCAGCGAACCTACTAGTTTATGCTAGTCTAATCCCTCTCAAACTCTTCCATTCCGCTCATAGGTTTTCCCAACCTGTTTTCCAAGAAGAACAAAAAAGGCACAATACCGAGATTGGAACAATACACAAATAACCCGCACATGGGAGAGAGGAGTTTACGACGACGTTTCGGTCTGACTTGGACCAATGTATTTGTGTATGGTTTTCCAAGCCACTAAAGGTATTAGCTCCAGTGACCTATCTAGCAGCTTGTTCCACTTATGCATCGACAAACCGACACGTTCCAACATTCCCTTAAAATCTGGATTCAAATGTTTTTTTCTTATCCTAGTCCCACATCCACCCGACTTCCTTTATTCCTAAAAATTTTTGTCTTGCACATTGCTTCCTCTATTTTATCTATTACGCTAATTGATTTGTTTTCTCCGCAGTGCCAACCCAACCACAGAACAGCTAACGGTGGGACTGTACGTGCCGCAGCTGCACATCACTGGCCAGTACATCATCAACGGACAGATCTTCTTCCTTCCCGTATCTGGCTCAGGACCCTTCTGGGCTGATTTTAGTTAGTTCCATTCACGTATTATTGATAGTATACAATACTGTCAAGTTCATGAATAAGACATAAGTGTACCACTTGGGTATTGGTGTTACAGAAACCTTTCGCTTACTCGAAGGTTTCTACAGTCGAAAATAGGTGAATGTACTGTAAGGCTGGAGATAGTATAAATAATTTTAAGTGATCAGTCCCTCAGCCTTGAAAGGAGGTGGTCAGTCCTTCAGCCTTAATAGGCAATCCCTGCAATGCCTAGTCGTGCTAGGTGTGATAGTGGCCCCCTCTGTAATTAGTATTTTATAACATGTAAACCACACAGTATCTTAAAATATGTAAAACCCGCATTGTAATCTTTATAGAGAATAAATTTGATTTGATTTGATTGAAGGACTGACTACTTCCTATCAAGGCTGGCGGTCTGATCACAAAATTATTTCTTTTACTGGCTCTAGTGTTAGTCACCTATATTTGACTGAAGATGAATAAGACACTTGTGCAACATTTGGGAATCTTTACTGAAGAAACGTTTCGCCAGTCAGTAGCTTCAGTCCAATACAAAGAACGGATTGAAGAAGTCATTATGTGGCGAAACGTTTCCTCACTTAAAATTCCCAAATGTTGCACAAGTGTATTCTTCAACCTGTAGGCTTTTCTAAACCACTTATCACATTTGACTGAAGAAGCCTACTTCGCAGGCGAAACGTTTTGGTAATAAAGATATAATAAAAAAAATCTATTTATACATATACAAGGTATACCAAGGTTCTTGTATCCTCTGTACCAAGATTCTTGTATCCTCTGTACCAAGATTCCACAGAGTTCCTCTCTCTCACAAATGTAATTATATCAAAGGTATATATGACTCCAACAGGTTGAAAAACAAGACTCCATTTACAAAAGCCTCTGTATAAGACTGATAACACTCTGTGGGTGTAACGGCTCTCGGTATAGCCAGGTGTTGCACATGTTTTGTTCATATATATGAAACTTAAATTTTTTTTACACACGCTGACCACCCATGGCATATAGGCATACATAGATCTCCCAGTATTTTCAGGTGGCCTGGTGGCTAAAGCTCCCGCTTCACACACGGAGGGCCCGGGTTCGATTCCCGGCGGGTGGAAACATTCCGACACGTTTCCTTACACCTGTTGTCCTGTTCACCTAGCAGCAAATAGGTACCTGGGTGTTAGTCGACTGGTGTGGGTCGCATCCTGGGGGACAAGATTAAGGACCCCAATGGAAATAAGTTAGACAGTCCTCGATGACGCACTGACTTTCTTGGGTTATCCTGGGTGGCTAACCCTCCGGGGTTAAAAATCCGAACGAAATCTTATCTTATCTTATATACAGGGAGAGGTGTATCAATAAATACAATGATACAAAACTAATAGGGAGAGGTGTATTGCTCAGTATAAATAATGGTATACAGGGAGAGGTGTATATCCCATTATATATAAAGAGAGATATTGGCCCACTGGGAGATGTGCGTAGTTCAGTATATACAATAATATGTAGGCGTACAGGTATCGGTGTGTATGTCAACGATATATAGGCCTGCGGGTGTATCTCAGTATATACAAAGAGATATGCCTACAGGAGAGGTTTATCTTAGAATATGCACTTACATATACAGGTCATCAGGGAGACGTGTATCTTTGTATATACAAAGGATATATAGTGCAGAAAATATGCGAGTTGGGGCTGGTAGAGGTTTTCTATGATGCAATAAGTGGGGCGGTAACTATGCTAATCTTCAGATTGGACTCGCGAAGAATCTTAAAATTACATTTTGTTCGGATTTTTAACCCCAGATTGTTAGCTTCCCAGGTTAACCCAAGAAAGTTAGTGCATCATCGAGGACTGTCTGTGTTATTTCCATTAGGGTCCTTCAGTGTTTTTCCCCAGGTTAACCCAAGAAAGTTAGTGCATCATCGAGGACTGTCTGTGTTATTTCCATTAGGGTCCTTCAGTGTTTTTCCCCAGGTTATCCTAGGTTCTTTACACTTATGCTGCTATGTATGATAATCTATGTAACTGTATTTGTGTATACCTGAATAAACTTAATTACAGGATACGACCCACACTAGTCGACTAACACCCAGGTACCTACTTGCTTGCTAGGTAAATGGGGACAACAGGCGTAAGGAAACACCCCAATGTTTCTACCCTTGTCGGGGGATCGAACCACGGACACTTAGCGTGTGAACAAAGAGCGTTACCTACCAAGGCACGGGGACACCTTGAAGTAGTACGTTTGTTTAGGTATAAGTACAATGAGTCTCAAGACCTCAACATTGAAGCAGCATACAAGAAGTCTAAAGATCTTAACACTGAAGCAGTATAAAGGGAATTGACAAACCTCAACACTGATAGCCTAATAAATGCAATCAGTGCGGTTATTTCCATTGGGTTCTTTTTTTTTAGGTTCTGCCTTATGATGCGATCCACAACAGTCGACTAACACCCAGCTGTTTATTTACTGTTAGGTAAAGGGACTAGTACCGAACTTGCACACGAAAATCACACAACGAAAGCTGTCTTCAAGCAGGCACTGGACAAGCACCTAAAGTCGGTACCTGACCAGCCGGGCTGTGGCTCGTACGTTGGATTGCGTGCAGCCAGTAGTAACAGCCTGGTTGATCAGGCTCTGATCCACCAGGAGGTCTGGTCACAGACCGGGCCACGGGGGCGTTGACCCCCGGAACTCTCTCCAGGTAAACTCCAGGCGTTAGGAGACTTGTGTGCAACATACAATGTGCGGTGCCGGCTATGGCATTTTGTTAGGAAACTTTCCCATAACGTGCTGACAATAGTAGTGAAAAGACGCTTTTATTTGGACAACATTTCGATATATTAAGATTTTTATCATATCTTGATAAAGATTTTAACTGATAGAAACATTGTTACACTACCAGCTTGTTCTGAAGAATGTCTTTTCTCCAAGAATGAGAAATGGAAAGAGATTCTAGATTCTGGCTTAAATTTCGCATAAATGAAATAACTATGACTTGTGTTTAGTAAGAATTAAATACGGTACTTTGTTTTATTATCCCATCATCGGGGAAGAAGTGTAGAATTAATAAAATACATCTTTAGCATATAATGAGCCAATACTATATTAAAAATGGGAAAAATATGCAATACACAGAAATAACACATAAAACTTTCCTGACGCGGGTCTTATTGATAACCCGCCACTAAAGCTTTTGGTCATCCAACCGAGGCTTTCCACTGGCTTACCGGTCTGCTCCTTTAAATATTAAAGATAATAGTTGATATATATCGCAGTTGTATTGCACGATCAAGTGATAAAGTCTCAAATAGGTAAAACGTTGTTTTTATTTTAATAAAGGTCTCGTTTTGCTGTATGTGTCTTTATACTAGCAGTGACTATAGGAACACTGTGGTAGAAGTAGCGTTTACTGATGTTACTAATATACGATGTGTTGCAGAGGGTGTTGACGCAACAGGCGACAGCCAGCTGAGGGTTACAAGAAATGCTGATGGTGTGGATCGTCTTAAGGTGACCAATATGAATATTGATTTCACTATCCGTGATCTTAAACTGCACCTTGACAACCTCTTCAACGGAGACCCAATCCTTGGTTAGTTACTTCCTAATCACCCTACTTTTTATAAATGATGTTTGTCTTGTAGGAACAGAGATGAAATTACCCTCCATGTATCTTACACTGTGCTTCCTCTCTCTCTCTCTCTCTCTCTCTCTCTCTCTCTCTCTCTCTCTCTCTCTCTCTCTCTCTCTCTCTCTCTCTCTCTCTCTCTCTCTCTCTCTCTCTCTCAAAAGCTGAAATAATTCAGAATTTTACAATGAATATAATTAATATAAAAACTCTCAAAATTGTATTTTTTAATTAATAGCTCCCGTGGTATACAAGACCACTGTTAAGACCAGTTTTCTTGATAAACGCTGATGAATGTTTCAATCTTACAGCCCAAACGATGAACCTCTTCCTGAACGACAACGGCCAGGAGATCCTTCAAGACATTAAACCGGAGGTGACGAGACAGTTAAACGAGTTGGTTCAGAAGGTGATGGACGATGCTCTGTCTCAGCTTCCCGTCACCGCCATCCTCCAATCTAAATGAGTCTCCCAACCCGGTGCACCTTAAATTCTACCTGCAAGATCATACCAAAATTGGAATGGATCCCAAACCTGTTTTCCTAGGAGAAAAAACCTGAGTGTATCAGTGAAATTAAGATTTTTCACATTAAAATTATCGTTATGTGAATCACAAAGCATAATCGTGTTTACCTAGGTATTTCTTCTTTTTCTTGCTTTTGTAAAACGTAAATTTTGGTTACTTTAAAGTGACCTAAACTTAAGATCAGAACATGACAAATCAGCCTTGTAACAAAGTGCCGACGTCCATTTTTCAACGGTCTAAGAATAATTTATAAACACGTTTGCTTTAGGAAGACATGTTTGGATCCTAGTAAAGCTCTCTGGTTATGTTGAGGGATCCTGGACATGAAGCTGTGTACATTGTATTGTGTAAAGTGCGTCTATTGTATTACATGCAATGTACAGCATACAGATAAATTGCATTGTATTGTGTAAATTGCGTCATTGTATTACGTAAATTACATACATTCTATTGTGTAAATTGTATACATCGTTTGTGTAAATTGCTTATATTGTATTAATTGCATAAATTGTATCGTGTAAAATGCTGCATTTTATATAAAATAAATTGTTGATATATATGGAATTCATAACTTAAATATAGTTCAAGTACCAATTAAGAATTGTAAATAACTGTCTGTATATTGCTTATAAACTATTTACACAAAGGGACAAAATTGCAAATAATTTTTAGGTAGTCTTTTTATAAGTTTATCTTATTCACAAGTCAGTATTATCTTTGTGCACTTTGCCATGTCTATGAATTTCTCTTCAACATACTATTTTGTATTTAAGACTAGCAAAATATTTTTTCCATGGTTACCCATTTAACATTTACATTGAAAAAATTCTCTTCTTTTACTTGCTTAGGTAAAATTTTAATTTTCCATATATGTAGTTATATCACAATACAAGGAAATAATATAGTTATAGTCTAGACATCTTTTCAAAACTGATAGCCCAAAAAAAAAGGTTAAATGCATAGAATATTTTTTTTATCAGGTAATAAAACGTAAACGCTATGTAAAAACTTGTAAAACTGTGGAAAAACTTACTTTGGAAATTGATAAATAGTCACTTGAATTTGACACTTATGTGATTGAAGCGTTTTGTTAATTGTTCAACAAGATATAAGGGGATGTACATTTAAAAGTTGTCATTTTGTATGGCACAGCTGATCGCTGGTATTATCTATCATCATATTCATGTTAGTTAAATTAAGACTATAAAAATATGTCATATATGTCAGTGTTATCCTAACAAGGATTACTGTCCCACCTAGGAAGAACTTTTTTGGTGTAAGCCACAGTAAATGGAAATCAAATAGACAGTATGTCGAAGAATGTGACCCAGCATTGTCCTCTGCAATAACATAGTATGTACTCTTCTACATTCTCCTCATAAGATCCGTATAAGAGCAAGAGTTCTGCAACCATGAACGTTAAGGATCTCAAAATTCATTCCTATACAGCGTACTACATACCAATTTAATGATTTTATGCAAATTATAAGATTTTTATGCATGAAAAATTTAAAACACATCATACAAATGTAAAGTTTTGACTAATGACAAAAGTTTTCATAAGGAAACGCTTAGCCCGCAAGGGTCATACAACACATGAAGAATGAGAGGTAATCAGGTTCACTCAGAAAAGTAATAGCTCCAATTCCGTAAATCAAGAGCCCTTCGCCAGCATCAAAGCACCCCAGCCCCTCCCACCTTGATCTTCTTAAATTTTAAAAATGTATCAAATTTATTTTATATAGAGCTATTTTACATTGCATACTACTGTATTTCATATCTAAGTTAGTTTAATATGTTTATTATGCACCCCATACCCATCCTGTGGGCGGTAGTCAAAAGATTACAGAGGTACATAATTGGTCCAGGGACTGGACTCCAAAGTTTTGATAGCTGAGCAAGTTACAGAGGTAATGAATTCACAATTTACAAAGGTAATGAACTCACAGTTTACAAAGGTAATGAACTCCAGGTAGGTCTAGTCACAATCATGACAAGTTGCAAAGGTATTTACAGATTGCAGAGGTACGTAATGGGTCCAGGGACTGGGCCCCAAAGTTTTGATGGCTGAACTAGGTACAAGGTAATGAACTCACAAGTTACAAAGGTAATGAATTCTGTAAGAATGGTTACTTACGTTTATACACGGCTACAATCATGAACAAATTATAGAGTAATGAGCAATTCACACTTCCACACCCGGTCACAACTGTAGTGAGTTATTGGTGCAAATATTGATTGTTGAGACACACACACACACACATACAAATTCATACACACACACACACACACACACACACACACATAAACACACACACACAAACTCATACACACATGCACACACTCATACACACACACACACACACTCATACACACACACACACACACTCATACACACACACTCATATACACATATACACTCATACACATACACACGCACACAAACACACACACACACACACACACACACACACACACACACACAGGAGCTTGGACTCTACCCTGCAATCTCAACTAGGTGAGTGCACACACATAGACACACACACACACACACACACGGGGAAGGGAGAGAGAGGACCTAGTAGCAATCAGCGAAGAGGCGGGGCCAGGAGCTGTGACTCGACCCCTGCAACCACAAATAGGTGAGTACACACACACACACATGCACACATATGGTAATGCTTTATTTACAGCTAGCAAAGTCAGGGTATTTCTCCAGAATGGTCTGCAATATACCACTGTGGATAAAGTACTTTGCCATTTCTTGAACATTTCTGAGTGAATTGTTTCTAAATTCATTAATTTTATCACACTCCAGTACATAATGACGCAGGGTGTGACAATAGTCCATTTGGCAAAGTTTACATTTCGTTTGGTCTACATCTGGTGGTGGTGATTTAACCTGCCAAAGATACTTGTAACCCAGCCGGAGCCGGGCAGTAGTGACATCCAAGAGTCTGCTTATTTTGTTGGATGCACCGTAGACATGTGGCTCCTCCTGCATGATAGAATGATGATAGATGGACTCACTGGTGTCAATCTCCCTGAGCCTTAAGTCCATAAAATTCAGTCGAAGTTCTTTTCGTATTATTGTTCTCAAACTACTACCTGACAAGCCAAAATTGTAATCTACTCCCTCTTTGAAAGCATACAGCATAGCCAATTTATCAGTTCTATCATGCATCAGAAGACCAATGTGAGATGGAATCCACAGCATGTGCACTCTGACTCCGCTGTCCACAATCCTACCATACCTGTGTCTGGCTTCTGACACAAGCATGCCACAATTTATGCTTAATGAGTTGAGAGCATTTATGGATGACAGAGAATCAGTTACAATTAAACTGTCAATCTTTGATACATAGATGCATTTCAGTGCAAGGAGTCACACAGCACACACCTCGCAAATTATTTACGCTGATGGTTCTGTTCATATCTAAGAGAATTGCTAATTCTCAATAAGAAAAAAATACCCACACTGTGTAGAAATGGACACAACGAAATTGATAAAAAATTTAAACATAATGCTTATGTTAACATTAGCATTTAATTAAATTTACAAGTAACTCATCTGCGATTTGATAACTGTTCTTAACAGACTGAAACTTGTCTAGGTTTCTTTTTGTGGGTAACTTGTGACTTGTTCTAGCAATTGTATTGTTACACATTCTTCATCAGCAATGACACGGTGCTAAAGATTAAACAGACATTAAATGTTTATTCAGCGTCATGCTGTATGACCCTTGTGGGTTTAGCACTTAGTTTTAACTGTAAAAATACAATGTTCATCGTTTCATCAGCCTTTAACACATATGAGAACTGGAATAGCTAATTACATTATTATGAACTTTGATTAGTCCGTTGTTTAGTGGAATTTCCTCATCGTTAAATCAATTATATTTTCATCCCTTACAAAGTTTCCACAACACTTAATAAATAAACCGTTTTGTGAATACACTAAATAATCATTATCCAGTTTTAGTCACAACTGTTTATATGTTATTTCAACTTTTTTCTTCATGAAGACATTGATATTGTTTGACATCTGACTGATCTGAAGATTGTTATACGAGGCTGTTCATTTAAATGAGAATAAGAGCATAGGACAATAGGTATATTGACTATTTTGGTATTATCAGATGGGAGTACAAGCTAATTTGGCTCAAAGCCTGTCCAGTGCAAGAGTCATTAAGGCTGTACATCAAAGTAACTTTAATCCCAACATACACACATCATTTTTATACATGCCTTGACAAGTCTGCAGAAAGTGCAGTGATAATGGGACTGTGTTTATATATGAGATGGATTATGTTTACTTAAGAATACAACTTCTGTATACAGTATATGCAATACGTACCTCGGTATGTACACTAACATTGTGAATATATTTTGATATGTCTACAGTAAAAAGGATGTTAGCACGTGGAACTGTAACAGGAGTTAACTCACATAAGGACAAAGATAAGATAAAAAGTTATTCTGCATATTTCAACTTCGTCAGAGAGCCTTAGACCAAGGTCGAAATGTACTGAACTCTTCCTTGCCCGTGTCTCCATGGGGTTGATTTTTACTTTTGATAGTGTTCATGATACTTAGATGCTCCACGATGTGGAACTGTGTTTAGTAGCCTAATATGACAGAAACTGAAATGTATATATTTTCTCATTATGTCCAACAGTTGGTCCTTTAAAATCAATATAACTCACTCTGTATGTGCAACGAGTGTCACCTGACACGGTCCTGAGCATTATCTTATACAAAATGTAATCCAGTATTGCTGTACAAATAAAAAAAAACTTATGATTACTCTTAATCAAATCCCAACTTACTTTCTTACATATAGTATTTAGAAAGAAAATTTTAGATTTTAGAAAAGAAAAAAATGAATATATTTGATGGTCGTGTCTTAACGTTTTAAGAAAAGCTGTGGCAGGTCAGACACACTGGCACTCCGTGTTTTTTTATAATCTTGTGTAACAATAATTGATAATTCTAAATATCTGTTTTTGTGGATGTGTATTTCCTTTATGATACTGGTGAGGGGCTCCTGATCCAAGGTATTTGACCCGATCTGTTCTTTGGATTGAAACTGAATGCCTGCCATTTTCCCAGACGCTACATGACCACCAGGTTTCCTCCATAAATGTAATATGTTGTATAGCAATCAGAATAAATCAGTTATAAGATACCTGAAGGTCTATAAAACCCGTGATGCAGATAAAAAAAATGGGGGTTGGGGGAGAGAAAAGACACCTGCATTTCAAATATATGTATTACCTTTGGTGGTATGTTATAATTAGAAAACAATCTAACCTAACTGTAGATAATGTAACGAGGAATTTGCTTAAAAATTGTACGTGAGAAAATCTACTGATCACAGAATGCCGAATGCTGCTTAAGATGATGGAAAACATTATTTGTTGATGATGTTTTCTGAAAGTGCTTTCTTCTTGCACAGGTGTCTTATTCCCAATAGAGTGACTCCCACACTAAGAGGAGCTGATAGACAGGTACCGGACGCAGCCTATCACCACACATCCTATGTCAGTATGGCCACCGGCTTAAGACTGACCACAGGCACCCGCATCTCCCACTTGTTACCGAGTTTAACAGCCTTTCAAATACCTTCATTCTCCCCTCTGTTGCACCCTGGGAAGACTATAGTGCCTCGTCGGCCCTGATATTTGTTGCTTCAGAACTCTGCTTGAAGAAGATTAATGGATTATACAAGTGGTGATCTATCACGGTGTTTCAGTGATCAAAATCAGTGTCGATTTCAAAGTGATTGAAAATTTTCATTAGCAACATCTGATTTAATTTTTATATAATATAATGTGAGAATTTACCATATAGAACATATAATTAAATAAAGATTTATTATGCTAGAGGTCTGTATAAAAAAACGAATAGCCTGACAAAGTCAATAAAAATGATATTGATCTAGTCACATGATTTGTATTTTGTGTTTTTTAATGACGCATACATAAAGTGCAAATTTTAACTAAAGTTCGCCCAACGGTCATATATATTTCAAGTGAGGAATGCAGATGTTTGTTCACACATGTATTACAGAATTACAGTGCACCCAAACACGCGATCAAGGATATGAGTGAACCTTCCCAAAGGTGCAGTGAACCTGCCACTTCCACTACCTTAGGTGTTAAGTGTAAGTCAATGTTATTATAGTAATTTAATATGGTAGGCTAACTCTACGTATCTGTATATCAAGAGTCAAAATATATGAACGTGAAACCATATTAAAAATTATAATATATTTTTATATATAAGCCGAACTTTCTACAACATTAGTAAATATAAATGATATATATATACTTATATATATATATATAATATATATATATATATATATATATATATATATATATATATATATAATATTTATATATATATTATACATATATATATATATATAATATATAATATATATATATATATATATATATATATATATATATAATATATATATATATATATATATATATATATATATATATATATATATATATATATATATATATATATAATATATTGTGTAGTGTGTGTGTGTGTGTGCAAAAACAACCACTGTGAAAGAATAGAGAAATTCAAATGATAATGTGAGTAGTCACGAAGGCGCTTGGAATTTCTCTATTCTTTCACAGTAGCAGTAGTTGTTTTGCATATTCTGAAATCACCTGTTTCCAGGACTTAAGTCCTGGAAATAGGAAGTACAATGCCTGCACTCTAAAGGAGGGGTTCGGGATATTAGCAGTTTGGAGGGATATGCTGTGTATCTTTATAGGTATATGCTTCTAAGCTGTTGTGTTCTTTTTAGAGCACCTCTGCAAAAACAGTGATTATGTGTGAGTGAGGTGAAAGTGTTGAATGATGATGAAAGTATTTTCTTTTTGGGGATTTTCTTTCTTTTTTGAGTCACCCTGCCTCGGTGGGAGACGGCCGACTTGTTAAAGTATATATATATATTATTATAATATATATAATATATATATATATATATATATATATATATATATATATATAATATATATATATATATATATATTCCAACAAGTCGGTAGTTACAGGGGTAAGTTATGCTCGCGGTGTAAGGCTTTAGATATTTAATTTATATTTCTTTGTTTTTAAATTCTAGTGACTAAATCACATTTTGTTAATTGCATTAGCTATTCTATCTCTAGCTGCCCCTATCTGGAATGTCACAGGTCTTTGTGTCCTCTCATTGTTACCTCAGTGGTTCTCACGCTCCTGCAGTGGCAATTGCCTAAACTCCTGCAAGTATTCCTGTCCTTGCATAACTCTGAACACTCCATTATTTGACTTTAGACCCGCTTGGGGGACATTTTGCCCCCTGAAGAACATTGTTTTTATCATCGGGATGCGCTAAACATGTAGAGATCATACAGCACCTAGGGAATATGAGGTAATCAAGGAAGGGAGGACAGCTTCAAATTCTTGCATCAGGAGCATTTCACCAGTGTCAAGATCCCTGCTCTCCCCCCATCCTCCTTCTCATTGCAGGGTCCCTGAGAAGTGAGGAGCATATAATTCCTTACTTACATTCTACTTCATTGGTAAATAAACAGATGCAGTTATATGGAATCTTCATTTACGACGTTACACCACACGCAGAAAGTTTGTTTTCTGTTTGTGACTTAATAAAGCCCATCATATAGGTTCCATATAACTGTATTTCTGTCTCCTTACCACTGTACTTTTATTTGTCATATTTACAATGGTATCGGTATAAGAACATATTAAAGAACACGTTAGTGACCTCAGATCATATTAAGGAACATATTAAGGAACACGGTTGTGTTCCTAAATTCTCGCCCCAGTGACGCTACCTGGGAGTTTGTTCCACTCATCTATAACTGTTGCCAAACAAGTACTTTCTAATATTCTTTCTAAATCTAAATTTATCCAAAGTGAATCCACTGATGCGAGTCCTGTTAGGGTTAGAAACTTTATTTATATCCGTCATATTTGTTCTTGTTTTCCATTCAGTCATATCCCCCACCCCTAACTTTACGACTTTCCAGAGAGTTCGTACGAAAGGTTTCTGATACATGGGATAAATTTCTTCCTTCTCTTTATGTTTTCTACGTCATTTACGTCTATCCTGTAATCTGGAAACTAGAACTGATCAACATAATCTGAATGAGGCCATATCAAGGTTGAATCAAGTTGAAATATTTCATATCATTGCCTATTATCTTTATCACTGTCTATATTTCATACCATTACTTACCGTCTTTACCATGATGTCAGCATCTAATACCATTACCTACCATCCACCCTACTACCTTCTGCGTCTCGTGGTTCCTCTACCGATGTTATCAACATTACTGTATTGTCTGTATTATCTCCCGTTGTTTCAGCTAAATGTTTCCCATTCTTAAGTGATGATGAGAAAAAGCATTACGTAATGTGATGGTTATTAGGTCGATAAACCAGCGGAAGTCGTCGGCCTAATGACCTAAAAGATCCACAAAGTGGGGTCGAAGTTTTTCTCAGCTGCCAAACAAAATATTACCAGTGACTAGACGTCCTCGCCTCATTGTCTCTCTGCTACCTCTGCCATCAATAAGTACAATAAACGTGTGTTCCGACATCCCTTAGTTCTTGCATGCTCCGCCCCATCTTCAAGCTGTCTCACCAATGCTTCTTGTTACCCCTGCCATCTTCCTTGTTATTTATTCCTGACCCTATCTATGTCTTCTTCACTTTGTTTTTTCTTGTTATACATTTATATTTATCTGTTTTGCCATTTATTAATTTTTTTCCATTATATCAGTTATCATTGTTTTATTTTTTCACCACCTTTCTAATATTTTTCCTCGCTCACATTTCTTGATATAGCTTCTTTGTGTCCTCACCTTCCTCTTATTTATTTCCTGTTCTCTGTTCGGGCTGTTATACTCCTGCGTGCTTCTTCTCCGTTAGTATACTTTACTGTGTTTATTTTTCATCATTTATTTATAACATTGATTCTGAGCTTGTCTCCTGCTTTTCATATTCATACGGTGTTGCCTGGCTCCAAGCCTATCTTCCTTTATGGTTACCTGCCAGCATGCTCGCTTGCTAGAAGTCTGCCTGCCTGTCTGTCTTTCTGTTTTCCCGTCTGCGTGTATGCTTGTCAACAAGTCTGCCTGCCTGCCTGCCTGCCTGCCTGCCTGCCTGTCTCCCTACCTTCGAGCCAACACGTCTACCCGGTCATTCCAGCATAATAATGATTCAATTAATAATACTAAACAACGATGTCGAGCACCCCACCGTTAGTATTGGAGACGAGACTGACGGGAAAAGCTTTGCACAGAGAAGTTGATATCCAGTGGGATGAAATCCGACTCTACAGTCAGGAATGTGTGGTGAACTTTGCAAGCAAGGCACTACTTGCTTCACAGCTGTGGCTCTTAGCCCAGTGAAGCTTACAACCCAGAGACTCCGTAGAGCGATACCCAGGCGAGCTGGGATGTATATGCAAGTTTCCTTACACCTGCAGTCCCTGTTCTCATCACAGTAAATAGGGAATTAGTCGACTCATATGGGTTGCTTCCTAGCGAAGAGGACTGAAGGGCCTGCATGGACATAAGCCATAATACGTGACTTTCCTGGGTTAATGACCCTCTTGGGTTAATGCCGAAGGAAATCTACAAGGTATTCTTTCTCTCAACTGTCCAGAACTAGAGTTCTGTTGTTTATATGCACATTGCAGCAAAAAAAAATTAAATATATTAGAAAACGCCTCAAAACGCTGTGAAACTATGATAATATTTCATA